GTGATTTCAATAAAAGTGAGGACATGCAAAACAGTGCAGGACGCACCCTGTGTTCTCTGGGGGAAGGGTTCGGCTGTGCAGGTTTGAAGGTTGAAGGAAAAGTACGAACGTCAAGGCTCCTCGGAGAGGTCAGGCTTGCCTCAGCGCCCAGCCTTGCCCCCTGGGACCCAGATCGCCTCAACTCACTGACCTTCAGCTAACTAATCGGAACAAATGGAAAATATCTAACTTACTGAATCTGTCGTGAACATCACGTGTGGCACCTTGCAAACCTGTCTCTCCAAGCTGACTGAAGGCACAGGTTGCCTCACCCAGACACCATTTTTCACTAATTGGCTTTTATTATATATTGAAATACAGAACCATGAAGATCTAAAACACTAGTAAAAACACAAAAAATGGAACAACTATTACACCATTCGGATTAAAAAACAGAATGTTGGGGCGCCTGGGTGGCGCAGTCGGTTAAGCGTCCGGCTTCAGCCAGGTCACGATCTCGCGGTCCGTGAGTTCGAGCCCCGCGTCGGGCTCTGGGCTGATGGCTCAGAGCCTGGAGCCTGTTTCCGATTCTGTGTCTCCCTCTCTCTCTGCCCCTCCCCCGTTCATGCTCTGTCTCTCTCTGTCCCAAAAATAAATAAAAACATTGAAAAAAAAATTAAAAAAAAAAAAAACAGAATGTTATCACTCAGCCATATTATCAATACATATTGATGCCTGCACTCTCCCCCCTCCACCCCTGCCCCTCCACTCCCGATGAAGTCACTATTCTGAATTTCATGGTTATGATTCTGTTCCTTTTCTTGATAGTTACCATAAATGGATGCATCCCGATAGTGGCTGCATGGGTGGCCTCCCTTTTGAATTTCTATAAATGGAATCACACGTTACGGCTTCTTACGAGACTTTCTATTTGCTCGGTATCATGTTTGTGAGTCATCCACATTCAAGCGTGATGCTCTGGTTACTGTCATTGCACACGGTTTTCCTTGCATCAGTGCCACAATTTACTCATTCTGCTAGCAGCTGGCTGATACCATGCGAGCACAAGTGTAGGCTGGCTCAAGGAGGTTTCCCTCTTACCCTTCTGCCCTAACCATGAAAAGACACACCTATGAGTCCTGGAACAGTAAGAACATGAAGCAAGACTGTCAGTCGGCTTGCAGACCTGGACCTTGAAGCAAAGCTACCCCACAGTTTAAAACGGAGTGAAGGTGGAGACCCACAGTCTGAAGGTGGAGACCCACAGTCTGAAGGTGGAGACCCACAGTCCGAAGGTGGAGACCCACAGTCTGAAATAGACTTGGTCCAGGGTGCCTGGGGGACTCATTCAGTTGAGCGTCCAATGTCAGCTCAGGTCATGATCTCACAGTTTGTGAGTTCAAGCCCTGCGTCGGGCCCTGTGCTGACAGCTGGGAGCCTGGAGCCTGCTTCGGATTCTGTGTCTCCCTCTCTCTCTGTCCCTCCCCCGCTCGCACTCTGTCTCTCTCTCTCTCTCTCTCAAAAATAAATAAACATTAAGAAAATAATAAAATCAAATAGACTTGTTCCAGCAGACAGTGTTTCGGTTTGGGGGTCCTTTGTTATGCAGCAATAACTGACTGAAACAAGTCCTGTGGTGGTAAATCATCTTTGTTTTGTCCAAAAACACTTCAGTTTTTTAAAAATATTTTAAATTCTTCTTTACTCCTAAAGGAAATTTTTACTGAGTTTATAGTTCCGGGTCAGTAACTAGTTGGGATTTCCCCCCGCCCCTCACTACTGTTAAGAAAATTATGGGCGCTTGGTGGTTTAGTAGTCGGTGCCGGCCCGACCAGCCAGGTCACCGATCTTTAGGCTGTCCGTGAGTTCGAGCCGCGTGGGCTCTGGGCTGATGGCTCAGAGCCTGGAGCCTGTCCGATTCTGTGTCTCCTCTCTCTGCCCCCCCGTTCATGCTCTGTCTCTCTCTGTCCCAAAAATAAATAAAGCGAAAAAAATTAAAAAAAAAAAAAAAAAGAAAATTATTCTTAAGATCCTGGTGCGCCGGTCGGTTGGCGTCTGATTAGTCCAGCACGATCTTCACTGGTCTGATGTTCTCCCGCTAGCCGGGTTCTCTGGCTGATGGCTCGAGAACCCTGGGCCTCGTCGATTCTGTGTCTCCTCTCTCTGCTCGCCCTCCTCCCGTTCATGCCTATTCTCTCTGTCCCAAAAATAAATAAACGTTGGAAAAAAAAAAAAATTTAAAAAAAATAAAAAAAAATAAAAAGAAAAAAAGAAAATTATTCTAGTTCTTCTGGCTTCCAGGTTTCCCACGTCATCTTTCAGTCTGAAACTACAATAAGATCATACTCTGTATTTGGTATTCGAACTTTCATAATATTGCATCTATGCATGATTTTCCTTTTACTAACTCTGCTGGGAATTTACCGGAGGTTTTGAATCTGAGGATTAAGCCATCATCTCGTCAAATCTGTTTCTCACTTCTCAAATTAAATTTAAGCAAATATCTCTATCTTCCATATCTCTTAACCTTCCTTTCATTTTATAATCTTTTTAAACTTTGTTCTCTCAGGGCACCTGGGTGGTTCAGTCAGTTAAGCATGTGACTTTGGCGCAGTCATGATCTCGCAGGTTGTGAGTTCGAGTCTTGCTTCGGGCTCTCTGCTCTCAGTGCAGAGATCCTCTGTCCGCTTCAGATCCTCTATCTCCCTCTCTCTCTCTGTCCCTCCCCTGCTCATGTATGTGTTCTCTCTAACTCTCTCTCTCTCTGGTCATAAATAAATAAACATAAAAAAATCTCTGCAAACATAAAAAAATCTCTGCAAACTTGGTTCTCTCTTCTGGGCAATTGTTGAGAGTTATCATCCTTTCATATCTCCATCTGCATCAAACTTATTTTCTTTTTTTAAATTAGTTTTGAGAGAGAGAGAGAGAGAGAGAGTGCAAGCAGGAGGGGCAGAGAAAGAGACAGAGGGAAAGAGAGAGAGAGACCTTAAGCAGGGTCCGTGGCCAGTGTGGGGCCTGATGCAGGGCTCGATCCCACAACCCTGGGATTATGACTTGAGCTGAAATCAAGAGCAGTGCACTCAGCTGACTGAGCCACCTTGGTGCCCCTCCAGTTTATTATCTTAACAGGACACTGAGTTTTAAATTTTCCATCATTGTGCTTTTCTACCATGCATCATTTGTTTTCAAATATATTTGGCTATTTATATAGTATATTGTTACTTACTCACATTTTGACTCCTCTGTTTTTTTTTTACACGGTGACTTGACAACTCTGTTCATTACACTGTGGTCACCACAAGTG